CCCCCTCGTCGAGCGGGAATTTCGTGCGGAATTTTCGTCGCGAAACTTTCCCCTCCTCCTCCTCCTCCTCCTCCCTCTTCTAATTGGCGGCGATAAATTTTCTTTAAGAAAATCTCGATTAAAATTATCCACGAAAATGATTCATATTTCCCATATACTAGGGGGAAATATTCTCGAGAGAAGTTTGATTCCCTCGAAGCCAGGGGTATCTCTAAATCAGACTTGTCCAAAGTCGGTGTTCAGCGGTAGTAGTCGGTCTTTGCAACGACGATATGGAAACTCCCGGCCACGGAGGATTGCACACGTGAGATTATTCGACTGTTCTCTCGGCTCGTGTATAACAGTGGAGAGAGCGGTACTCTCGGATGTATAGACGGCTCTCCGTTCTGGAATAGTTTCGCCGACGAAACCTTTCCACCGAAGTCATCTTGGCTTTTTGGCTCCTCCGTCGGAGACATTGGCTCTCGATCGTGATGGGAATAGAAGGGGGAAAATATAGGAGGGGAAGAAATTGGCGCGAGTGAGCTTAATTCTTAGAGCCGAGGATCAAAAGGAATTGCAAAACGAATAACGATTGTAATTAAAAGAAAAAAAATTTTTACAAATTTTCTTGGTCTCGATGTTGCTTATATTTGCTTGTAACTTTTTCGGGATCGAAGGTATTTAAACGCAACGCTTTGAATTAATCGAAAAGGGGTGACGGTAATTAACGGGCCTCGAATCGAGGCGTTATAAAAAGTTAAAGACCGTGACCTTGTGGGTGGAAAGTAGCGATCTCGAGCTCGCTCGAAAAGGGAGGGTGAATCCGCGTTGGAAACGTTCCAACTCTCGACGCACGGTGAGGCGGCGCCACCCGATTGCCTTGGTTAATTAATACCGAATGATTAATCGCCGGAGTTACATTCTTGTTAAACGAACCTCTGACTAGGTTCCAGGCTTCGTCATTTCTCGAAACATTCTTCTTTTTCCTTCCGCAGAAAAATTAAGACTTTTGCTGTTTATGATTACGAAGCATCCATATTTGCACATAGTATAAACATTTTTCATCGTGATAAAAATTCGTTTCAAATGATATTTGAATTTTCTTCTCGTAATTCAATTCCCAACTTCCTAACTTCCCGTCTTCGCAATCAAGATTAGCGAATCGCTCTTACATCTGCGTTAAACTGCGGCGAGTGAAGTACGAGGAAATGCGAGAAAGCAGAGAGGCAAACACA